CAAATTATATTGTGTAAAAAGCATCAGAGCCCTCATCTGAATCTATACCGGGCATTATTTTAGTTGCAGCCGCAACTGGCGAGCAGTAGTCGCGTCAAGCTGTTCAGGATTCAACCCCCGGCCCTGCCGTTGTAGTCTGGGCCCTTCGAAGTGATATCATTTTCAGTCCTCACACAGTTCTTCTGACGTATGAAAAGTACGCATATAGCATGCAGGAGGGGTCGTTCAAGGCAGTTGGCACTACTGGAGTCGGGCTGTTGTTGCTATCTTCATTGGTGGGAGGGTTGCGAGGGCGTTGGCCACATCTCACTTAGCCCTTCTACCAACGACATTGGCGACAACCGCCCGCCCCCGCTATCTTGCCCCCTGCCTCTAATTTCGCTCCAGAATTCAAGAAACGCTGCTGTGGGAGAGTTCATATTTGGATGTTTGATAGAGGCCTGTTCTCTCCAAATTAGTCCACACAGAGGAGTCAACCTGGTTAAGATTCGCGGAAGTGGGAAAACATTGTTCAAATGTTTGATTTCATCTCATTGTGATGACATCATCGAGAATTTTCACTCCTCTAACAGAAACTGAAATTACTCAGCGGCGGTCATAGCATCATTCTGAACAAGAACAATTTCATGTAAACCTATTCTTGGCGCAGTTAGCACTGATACTGAACGTAGCCTCCAGTAAGTGAGTTGAAACCCCACAGCAGTCAAATAGTGGGAAATGTATGATTTGGGTGCAAGGGCGCAACATACTAGAACTATGAATTCATAATTTGGTTAAAGACACATGGTACGATCACACATAGTTTGGGTGTGTGTGACTCAGCCCCGCAGCTGTCGAAGCGTAGCAGTTTCCCCGTCCCAACTTCGCCCAGTGACTTTGCAGCGCAGACTCCCGTTTATGCTAACAGACGTTCGCGCGGCGCGTATCGCGCGCAGCGCTCTCGGCACTTTGCCAAGTCCTGTAATTGCGCTTTGGAATACAAGTAAAATGCAATTTCCTGATGTGGATAACATTTGAGGCGCACTCGCATTTAATATTTTCATTTTGTTTTTATATAGATTCTATCAGGTTTGTTGCGCGAAAGAAATTACGCGTTTGAATTTTGTCCATTTATTTTCTCTCCTGCTATAGAAGATTTTTTTAAAACAGCTTTATCTATTAGAGAGATTTTTATTGTGCATCTGATATATTTTTGTCTATGTCTACTTTGTTTTTTTAGAAAGTTACTTCTTCTCTCTTCTTACTGCGTCGTCAAGGTGTCGAAACGACGTCGACAAAACTCCTCCACGACAACGCTCGTCCACATGTCGCGAAAATCACTTTGGAAAAAAAGGAGGTTGGGCTGGGAACTCCTGATTCATTCGCCATACAGCCCAGACCTGGCACCATCCGATTACCATCTGTTCCGGTCGATGCAGCACTCCCTGGCCGAGAGAAAGTTCACAAACCGCGAAGAAGTCCAACTCTGGGTGTCCAACTACTTTGAGTCGCAGCCGGCCGAGTTCTTCGAAAGAGGAATCCATTCTTTGCATAAACGTTGGCAACAAGTCATTGATAGCAATAGAGATTATCTTTCTTGAGATTTAATTGTTTTTCGTTTTTATAATAGAAAATTTTTTAGACTCGAACGCGCATTTGTTTCCGAACAACCTAATACATTCGTCGTTCTTCATTTCTAGCCTTTACCATCTTCATCACCTTCTATTCGGGCTTTGCAGCATGAGCAACACTTCAAATGTTATCCGCATCAGGAATTGCGTTTTACTTGTATTCCAAAACGCTTCGACAGCTGGGGGGGGCTGGTAGTCACGTACGCCCAAACTATGTGTGATCGAACCATGTCTCTTTAAGTAGGAAGTCATAATCGGAAACCGTTCGGCCGAATAGGTTTAGCGCTGTTGTAGGTCTCCACTTGTAGTTCCATTGTGATTTGAAGACCCTTCTTTATGAGTGCATACGAAACTGAGTAATTCATAGACTTACTTATGTTTTTGAAATCCCTTCAGAATCCAGGCTACATCCTTCATCACTGGCCGGCTATCTGGCATCGCTGACCAGCATGCAGTAACTACCACGCGAATTTCGTCCGGCAGATCCTCGGAGAGAGGAGGTCGGAACTTTGGATCAGACAGCTGCAACATATAGTATTGAGTTTCTATGTGCCAATTAACATCATTCTGTAGTTAATGGAGCAGAGACGGCATGGAGGCTCTTACTCGTTGGCGAACTGTTTTGTTATCATATTCCTCGAATGGCATTTTAGCGTCGTTGAATATCTCCCAGACGAGTATCCCGTACGAATAAACATCACATTCACGTGTGTAGATATGCGTCGCAACGACTTCTGGAGCTTGCCTGAAATAGAAGAATCTCCGCTGCAGTTCGGCACTGTTAACGTCCATACATACCGGAAGGAGGAAAAAACACTTTGCGCAAGACGCATATCAGCAAAAAATACGCAGCCCAGAGAGAAGACGTGGATACGAGTACCAGGGCGGAAGATACCCAAGATGTTCCTCGATAAGCAGGAGCAGGCTCTCGTCCATCACCTTCATGTACACCAAAATATGAAGCTATCTCCAATCGCAGCCGGACTGGAATTCACATCACCTCCAAACAGGTGCGAAACTTCTGGTATGGAACCGGCACACTCGATCTAACCTCCAACATCGAGCAGCTCCGACAACGTCGCTACGGTCCAGGATATCATCTTCACTGCAGTCGCCAAGGCGCGGGTTGATGGTATGGACCGGAAGTTCCTGGAATGGGAAGACCGATATTTTCTTCGACCCCGGAAAGTGAACGCTGACGGTTACATCGAACAGCTCGAGGAGAATATCCTGCCTTCATGTCGTCGCCTGTACCATCTTGGAAACTTCGTACTGCTACAGGATTGGGTGCCAGCACGTGGAATCAAGGGCGTTGAAAAAACTCTCGCCTACTTGGAATCGAAGGGCGCTGAGTACCTGAAGAAGACGGAATATTTAAGTGTGTCACCTGACCTAAACCCCCTCGATTACCGTGGTTCGGGCGGAGCTCAACAGGGTGGTCTACAGTGGCGGAGAAATCAACTACCTTGCTGAATTCAGGCACCTAATCACGGTCTGCGCCATGCGAATCTCTTCAAGATGTTTGTCCCGAAGCTGTTGGCGGCGAGTTCCATTGATCGTGATGATGTTCGTATACAATAGATGAGTGATGATGAAAATCTCCAATAAGAACTTAACAGAGTGCTTACTTATTTCGCCTTGAAAGTCGAGGAAAAAACTGTCTTTTTTTGGCCCTCCCCTGTAGTTCCATGTAGAAACCAGTGTGTCAGCGTGCTATACTATGGAGGAGCTGGGTGGGCAAGTAGCTTCTAGTCCGATGACCATCGTCACAGTAGTTACGACCCTAGTGTCACAAAGCTGATGTAGGTGCCATCGGTGTAACAATGATTATGCCAGATTGACTCATTCGAGTAGAATTTCAGAACTTTAGTTTGCGAAGGCAAACGTTTTATCTGCAGTGTTCCGGGAAAAAAGCTGGTTAACTAGTAGGGATGGAGGCATACAGTAATCCACAATAGCTGCTAAAGGGAGAGGAGCACCGCGACCAGGGCGGGGTTCCTCTGTTTGATGACGTTATTCCCACTTTTGCCCAAAAAGTCCTTTATGTCCCTTAGGTGCTAATATCCCTCATGAGATGACCTGGATGCAGAAAGGAAGATATTCAAGCATACCACTTTGTAGGAATTTTTTCCGTCGGTAGAATCTTGTAGGAATCAGCCTGCTTGGAAAGTCCAAAATCCGATATTTTCACGATATTCTTCTGTGTATCAATTAGACAATTTCGACATGCCAAATCCCTCAAACAATTCAGATATTTGTCACGAAAAATAAATAGCTCTGAGGGAAGTGGGTAGGTATTTTGGTACAAGACACTTCTTATAGTCTTCTAAACAAAAACAGGTGCAGAATAAAGAGATCATTTTGAACTGCGGGACGAAGATCCGCGGGATGAAATATGTACGTGAAAGACAAGTAATGGTCTAGGAGGTCTACAGCTCCAAAAAACCTTACAATATGTCAGAGAAAAATATTTTCGTTACCACTAAGAAGATTTCTTCGACTAGCCTTGATAAAAGAGAAAAACCATTCAGCATCAGACTGCTTATGAAAAAAGCTGGTTCGATCGTGATCAATTGCTTGCCGGTAAGGTCTGGGCGTGTAGGTTTTGGCAGCATGTTAGGAATTGCAGAGACCCCCCACACCCCACCCCCCCCCCCCCCCCCCACCCCCCCACCCCCCCCCCCCCCCCCCCCCCCCCCCCCCCCCCCCCCCCCCCCCCCCCCCCCCCCCCCCCCCACCCCCCCCCCCCCCCCCCCCCCCCCCCCCCCCCCCCCCCCCCCCCCCCCCCCCCCCCCCCCCCCCCCCCCCCCCACCCCCCCCCCCCCCCCCCCCCCCCCCCCCCCCCCCCCCCCCCCCCCCCCCCCCCCCCCCCCCCCCCCCCCCC